CAAATACTGTATGGTTCCTATAATTTATGGTCACCAGATATTGCAGCAGATACATGAAACCACACAAAAGGGGAAGAAGTAAAACTGCTTATGGAGAAAGGAGACTAAGGAGAGTGGAGAGGGGAGGAAAAGGGAAGGTAGAAAGTATAAGGAGGGACTAGTTAATACAAAATATGTACATGTTGGAGGTGTTCAGCATCAATAAATAAAGTGTATTTAAAATAAAAATAAATTGAAAAAAACAGGTACTTCGTCTTTACGCATAGGACTTGTTAGCTTACTTTTACTTTCTCAAGCTTGGAGTTTCTACGCTTTGAAAATCTCTCATTGCCCTTCAACCTCTTTCTTTCCTTTCTTCACTATACTAAGGACAACAAAGTCTCAGTTTCCTTCTGCTCCTTGTCCCTGCACCATCCCTGTCAAAGCCCTTTCCACCTGCTCCTGGGATTGTCTGCCGAGTTCACCATGTCTTTGCGAGTTTGCTGGTGCCTGGGATGCAGGAGACTGTGCTATAGGCTGACTTTATCATGCCAAGGTTGGCACCTAGGAAGGTGCACAAGATTTGCAAGGTGGTGGCACAGATATGTGTGGTGACACACTGAGTGGCTGTCTTGGAAGGCTACAAAACTAACGGTAGGAAGGAGTCCCTTGGATTTTTTTTTATCTTATTTCTAATTGTTTACCTGTCATTTGCCACATGCTAGGCTAGTCCTTCCCAAGGCATGCCATACAAAATGGGGAGTATTATATTTCTAAATAGTATAATGAAATTTATTAGGAGCAATACCAAAAAAAATCTCCATTTTCGTACCCAGACACCCTCTGAGCACCGCCATGAAAGTAGCGAATTGTCCAAAATTATTTTTAAATATACTGCTGCTGATGCTGCTGCTACAGTGTTGGTGTGTGTCCTGGAACTCGCTCTGTAGACAGTCTTTCACCTTATGAAGCCCTTTTAGACTAGATTATTTCTTGGCCTAGGAGCTTTTAGTAATGAGGTAGTGGTGGATAATCAAAAGCAAGAAAGAGAAAGGTGTCCAAAGCATAGCTTTCAGATCACAGCAAGATGGACAAAGGCCAGAACACAGGGAAAGAGGCTGGGCTTAGTCCTGATTCTTCTTCCTCGGCATTCCTTCTGTAAGCTGTGTGTAAAGACAGGATAAGAACTACCCAGTAGGATGGGGCCTGAGAAAAATCCCAGGGACATGTTAGGAAGTGTAAGGACAAGAGTAGAGTAATAAAACCAGCATTCCAGAAAGGCAGATTAACCTACTCTCAGAACCCTGTCCACTAATAAGCTACTAGTCTTCAAAACGACATACCCAAGGGCCAAGGGGGCTCTAAAACTTACAGTATTTCCCTGGCTACTCTTAAAAATGCACATTAAGGGGCAAATTTCACTTGGTGTGATTTATAGTTTTATTTTGCTTACCTAAACTGTTTTTGATCATTTGTTAAACTATCATGAAACGAGTTTTTTATTAAGAGGAAAAAATAGGGGCATGGGATAACTCAGCGGGTACAGCATTTGTCACACAAGTTTGAGGACATGTATTTGATCACGAGAACCCCTGTTCAAAAGCCAGATGTGTTGGCTTATAGCACCAGTACTAACGAGGCATAGACAAGTGCATCCCTGGGACCCAGGTGCCCAGCAGCATAGCCTACTCAGAAAGCACCAGGCCAAGGAGAGATCGTGTCTCAAAACTCAAGGAACAGCTTCTCATCTCCTGAGGTGGACACGTGACATGTACGTGCAAACATAAAAGTGCACACAAATAGCTGTGCACAAACAAATGCACATACACAAACACACACACACATGAATAAATAAAAGAACAAAATTGCTTACAAATTTGAACTAGGCAAACATATTTTTTAATTTACTGAGTTCTTTTATTAATAAAACCTATATTCAGTCTACTTAAGGTAGACTATAGGTGACTGCTGCTGAGTTCTGTATTCTTGGCTGTGGCTAGAGAAAGAATTCACAGTAAAGGGGACTGTGGGAGTGCCTACCATTTACTCCCATGTTTTTATAAATGGAAGCAGCCAGGAAGTACACAGCTGTCGCCATTCCCCTCCCCCCAAAAAAGTGCATGAAGTGTGGGTACCACTTGAGCCAGGGCCAACGTGATAGGCAGGTTGCCTCACAGAGCAGATCTAAATTTTTGAGCGGTTCCAGCAGATTTAATAGTTTGCATATGTATAAAAGGATATCTGGATTCATTCATCTGGCATGTGCCTTTGGCTGCAGATAAAGCCTAAAAACTAACCTGCAAGCTGCCCACCGTCCTCTAATATTTTAAATGGTTGGCAATCAAAAGAAAATTGGAGCAGACTAGATAGGATGAAAGATTCACCTGGACGAGAAATCTGCAAAGGTTTGTTTAATCTCCTTCCCTTGTGCATCTTCACACTGCAGATTCCAGTTGGAAAGGAACTGCCTGCTTGCTCAGAGGGAAGGCTGTCCATGTAATGTGTCTTGGCCAATTGAAAATTGGCAGCATTCACGTTCTCAGGGGGACTTCTTCTTGCCAAGCTTCTAGGACATTTCCCAAGACCTAAAAGATTGCCCAATTGGACACCAATCTCACTAAGCACACAAACTTTTCATCACATGGGCCAGACTTTTCAGAACTCTGAATTGTTAGCAAGCAGAAAAGACAGCAAGGCTCCACTCTTGCCCACTCAGATTATTCTAAATGTCACCAACACAGTCTCCTTAAGAGACTGAGAAAGAACACAAATTCCCTGCAAGGTACGGCTAATTAAGAGAGACAGCAAATTTTAGAGGAAAAGAACAAAACAGATAAAGGCACTTTTACAGATTAAGCAAAAATCCAATTGTGGTCTTAACAAGAACTTAACCTTTAGCTCAGGATCAGTTCTGACGTCATTCAGTTTATCCAAAGAATTCTATTTATCATGGGCACAGAGGAAAAGGTCAAGAGCTAGATCCCAAGGTTTTTAAGGAGAAAGATACATCTCTAAATTACTACATGAATTCAACCTCTTGGAAGAAATATTCCATATTCATTAAAAACCCTTTTTCTGGGACTTGGGAGCATATTTCTAAATATTTGGCGGGGATTGAATGGTGAGAATTATGTGAATGCCCATTTCAGCTAACCCCTTCTAAAATTATGGTGTTTGTTCATGTGTAATTAAAAAAAAAACAGTCTTGGAGAATTTTCTATGGTTTGTGATGGGGTCATTAAATAAATTGGACTAATTATGACTTTACAAATGTAATTGTAAATTAAATAAAGTATCAAAAACAAATCTAGTCACAGCTGTTTGGGAGAGTTGTTGCTTAAAACTTCACTTATCACCACATAATATAATTAGACAATTACCAAATGACAGCGAGTGATGTTTGTAGCGGTCCAAAGCAAAAGTCTTCAACAGTGAGGAGAGTCACTGGCAGATTCTCATAAACAAAGAAGAGCGTAATTTGTTTAGGTTTGGTTTGGGGGGAGGGGTGTTTTTGTTTGTTCGCTTGGTGGGTTGGTTGGTTGTTTTGGTTTGCTTTTTGACTTTCTGTTGTTGTTTTGGGCTTTGCTTTTGATTCTTTTGGCCTTCTGATTTGCAATAATAGATTTAGTCACCTGGTACCTAGACCCTAATCAATGTATTCATTAGGCACCATTGCCACAGCATCAGGGACCATTTACTTATATGTCCATCTCTTTCCAGTCTTCCTGTCACCAAAAATAAATCTGCAAATAGGCTTCCTGGATGAAGACCAGAAAATGAAAGGCTTCCTGTGCACACACGCACACACCTACATACATGCGCACACACACATACACAGTAACAAAGGAGAATATTATACTTTCTAGTGAGGTCAGACACAACAACCAAGGAGCAAACAAATACGTAGAGAATGCTAGCAGGTGGAAGTGAGTGTAAGGAAGAAAGGACAGTTGGGATGTTTTGAAGGCTGGGGAGACTGGGATTAGCTCAGCAGGGGATTCACCGCTAATTGGTATCCTCCTCAGCCCCATGATTCAGTGATATTCTTCAGTGATTACAACTTGCAGCAACAATATACAAACTGGTCTCACCACTAGTTGTGGAAAGGACGATGAGGTAGGTTTGGTTCCAGTTTCTGGCTGGTCATGTGATCTATGACTAAAGAAAGTGGAACCAGTGAGCTCAGAAAATGCCATTCTGGGGATAACGGCAATGCACATCAAACACCATGTTGTCTCAGAGCAGGAAAACAAAACTGAAGAGGAACACCTACGCAGAGGAGAAATCAACAATTATTTACATTTTATAAAACTGTATTTGCCTAACAATAATGATTTTAAAAAGTTCCAGTACTTTCTAGCAGTAAGATCACGAGACTCTTCCATGAGCTATGAATGCTCGTGTGGAAGATGAGGGGGAAGATCTCCCAATATCTCAGAATGTATAGCAACCAAGGCTTCAGTATTCTTCAGCTTAAGAAGGAATTCTTTCTATTTTTCTTTTTACTGTATTTATTAGGGGGAAGCCACTGCATGGCTGTGGAAATCAGAGCAGAACTGATAGGACCCAGGTCTTTCCTTCTACGAAGAGGATCCCAGGGTTCAGGTCGTACAGGTCACACGGTTTAGCAAAAAGGGGCCTTTACTTGTTGAGCCATCACTATAGCCCCTAAAATTTAAAATGTAAGCAGTGTAAGTTCTATTTCTTTTTTTTGGTCTAAAATTTTGCAACAAGTTTTCCTATAATGTTGTTGGGTGGGGAGTGTTCCCCAAGACCAAGGGGTTGACAAGTACATTACCTATAACTGTTTCAAGAAACTGCGGTATGGATGGCCTGATACAGCTAAATGTATCACAAAGCAGCACAAGCTGTGTCTGTCAGTCCCCTGCCTCACATGTTCTTGCCCCATCCTCTGTTTAAACAGGTGCTATTTATACTCATTATAATAAGCAAATGGAACAATGTGATAAGTCATGCCTTGCTGAATTTTAAATTCTCCGGTTAATGTATGAAATTAAGGTAAATTTATTCATTTTAGAAATGGTGCGATCGTTATTATGTGCCCATTTGACCCTTTAAATTAAACCAATTAAGTGTAACTATCTGCATTATTATTTCCGTGATGGATGGATGATTGGATTTTATCAATTTCTTCCCTAACAGCCAGATCGTACATGTACCTATCTACTGCACACCATCCTTTCCATCCTCTGTCGCACACTCTGTGGCCTTTCTCCCATGCTAATGGCAGCAATCTCTCTCGAAAACACCTAGGGGAAAATCGTTGTCATCAACAGCGCAGTATTTCTACTTTGGTCAGTTTGCAAACCGTCTTCTCCCACCTGTTCCGGACATTTAACCCATACATGAATTGGGCTTAGTCTAGTCATTTCCTTGAGACTTTTCCCCTCAGTCTTTATAGGAAAGACTTTAGACTGTTGGGCTGGAAAGACGGCTCAGCAATTAAGAGCACAGGCAGCTCCTTCAGGGAATCTGTTTCAATTCCCAACACCCACCTGGCAGCTCGTAATTGTCTGTAACTCCAGTCCTGGGGCATCAGACACTCTCTTCTGGCCTCTGTGAACAGTAAGACGTGCACATATATACAGCCATGTATGCAAAAGCACATCCATATATGTAAGTCTTTTCAAAAATAGAGGTATGAACTAATACAGCTAATAAATTGTTCTAAATTTATTGTTTATATCTTAGAAATGCAATCTTCCCTTGCCTGTTACTTTATTTTCAGATAAGGAATCCCATTCTTTGCTGATATCTTACCAAGTATCTGCATGTTACCCTGATTGATAATGTTCCTTCAAAGACTCATAGAATTCCAGAAAATATAGATATTGGCTCCCAAGAGTTATGTCAGAATATTCCATTTACTTTCCCTAATCATTTGATTCCATCTGGCCTTCTCTTTGAATCCCCCCTTTCACCCTTGTCCATACTTTCTTTCATACAGTCTTAGCCAACCCTCCTTTAAGTTTACCCACCCCCTTGCAAGCAGCTTCTGTTAGGTCCTCCAGCTCTCTATGATGTATTTGGAATAGCTCCCCGTGTTTAGAATAATCTCCCACCCTGAGTCTGCACTGTCTTCATTGTGAACCTCTGAAAGCCCGTTTCTGCTGGGAGCCTCGTGATGTTTATTTCCCTGCCAGACGCATTCTCCAGGCCTCATTCCCGGGAATGCTGTCCTGGCCAAATCAAAGGGCCAGCACTTTAAGAGAGCGCGCGATGCTGTTTCCATTTCCTCTAAAGCACCGTGTCCGACTCTCAAAATAATGTCTTCCATCAAAATAATAGTCCTTAACTGGATGTCAGAGCCTATGGCCCAAGCCAGGGCCCATTCTGCCAAGTCAGCTTCAATTGTCCCTTCCGGTAAATTTCTCTCCAAGTTTTCTAGAAGTTCTAGGGCTAAAAGCCCCCAGAAGGTGAATAGGAAAGAGAGATATTTCTTCTAATAAAAGGATGAGAAAAGCCAATGCGCATTCGTCCTGTGGGTCATCTTGTGCTAGCAGCAAAGGAGCTGACTATTCTTAAGATAGAGAAATGAAAAGATGCGCGAGGTAATAAAAAGTGCTGAGGCTTCCCTGGTCTTATCTCCCACCGCTTTCATTTTCAGAGAGATTTTTTTTTTAAGGGAATTCACACAACAGTAGCAATCTGTCATCAGTGTGGTCCTCTGAAAACCCAAGTTATCCAGAGTCTCTGGTGACACTTCTCCATTAAGAGGAGTGGAAACTGGTGGGGACGTGCCAGTCACTCCGCTCTGCGTACAATGTGTGTGCTCTTTTTCCAGGTGATTGACTGCATGTCCACGTAGGCGGATTGGCCTCGGCCTAATTTTCATTCCATCTACATTCAGAAAGACAAAGGTTTTCATATTTTCAGGGGTCGTCTGTAGTATTTTGTTTTTATGGAAACATTAGAGGGAGCAGCCAATTACGCAAGACTCCATTTAGTTTTGATTGCCTTAAAATACACACTGCTAAGGTTTTATAGGCCTGTACTAAAGAAAGAAAAATACTTACCACCTAATTCCAGATATCTTGTAACTTATGAACCACTAGACATAAAATCATTGAGTCTCCAGGGCAAGAAAGAATCTAACGTGGAAACAAGGAAATCAAGCTGGTCGATAATGAAGAACAAGAAGAAAGAAAGAAAGAAAGAAAGAAAGAAAGAAAGAAAGAAAGAAAGAAAGAAAGAAAGAAAGAAAGAAAGAAGAAAAAGAGAAAAAGAACTTTCATGGCTGAAAAGGCTTTTCTTTTTTTTTTACTCTTACAGTATTTGGGCTTCTTATTTATTTGATTTTGCTGTGTGGCTCTGTGGTCAGAATCTATCTTGTGGCTTTCTTAACCGAACTACAGTTAGGATACATTATTTACCAAGCAATGGTAAGACGCGATTTTTAAAAAATTAAAGCAATTATGTTGCTCACCAGAACAAAAGTCACAAACTCAAATGCCTTCCAGAACCAAACGAATGGCCTGTTACCTTGTGCGACTCCGAGGCATCATTCAATCCGGCTACATTCCACACCACGGTAGACGGGGAATAATACATAAATGAAGCCAAGAATGCCAGTGGCGGTATGCAAGCAAAGTCAGTGTGTGAAGTGGCCCTGGACAAAATAAAAAGAAACGGCGGGCCGCTCGTCAAACTGGAGGGCACGAGACTCTGCCAACAGAGCAGATTCATGTCTGCACGGACATTTTGCACAGCTGTTCATGTTGCTTATGGTTTCACTTTCAGAGGAGATGAGGCAATATTTGTCTATGGATAGCTAAATTGTGTCTCCTGGGCTGGATACAAGGCTCAGCTGATATGGCTGATTTGTCTAATGTGCAGGAGGCTCAGGGGTCAATCCCCAGTACAGCATAAACGGACTGGGCATAGTGGTACAGGCCTGTGATCCCAATACTTTCAGGAATGGAGTTAGAAAAAATAGAACTTCCAGGTCCTTGATTACACAATGAGTGTGAGGTTAGCCAAGGCTACAGGAGAGTAGGCTTCAAAATCACAAAATCAAAACAATGCCTTGGGTATTATTAAAATGATCATATCTCACTATCATTTGTTTATAGCATTTTTCTTCTTTCTCAAATATTCAATTTTTAAATTGAGAATTTTTCAATCAAAAGAGAGTCAAGGACTGAAGTCCATTCTATACCCAAAGCAGTAGAACCATTACATTGTCTGTTATAATCGGAATGTATCATAAATCTCTGTTTCCACAGCAACAATCATTTTTAGAACCAAATGTACTGTTTATTTAGCAAAAGACATCATTCCATCTCTGTATCTCCTACTGTCTGTTCCTGCCATGAAATTGTTCTTTGAAAGGCAATCAAGCTCAGTCCAGGGACAGGCATCCTACAAGATGTCACGGCCCTTACATACAAAAAGCTTAGAATGTAGAGAGGTAATGAGCAGGCACAGCAGAGAACAATAGTAAAAGGGGCAAGTCATTGCTATACACAGTTGATTAAATATGTAGTGATAGCACCAAGAACCAGAAGCAATTCCAGAATAAGGGAAAGCATTGAAAATGGTCCTTAAAGCCAATCGTAACTACACGTGCCCGGAGTAGCAGTAATAGAAGGCACAGAAAGGGAGATCCCCAGAGCTCCCTGACCAGCCAGCTAAACTAAACTAAAATGGTGAGCTTCTGGTTCAGTTAACAGGATGGAGACTTCCTCTTCTGGTCTCCACAAATGCACACACACACACACACACACACACACACACACACACACGGTCCTTAAAGATGGACCTGAACAAAGTAACATGAGAAAGAGAAATTAAAATGCAGTAAAGTCCTCAAAGGCAAGGAAGCTAGCATTCTTCTGAGTCCAGTGTCTGTATCACACGCAGCCCATTAGAAGACACGGCGCCGAGGGTGTAAGGGAAGAGCCTCGCACTCGCTGGGCCGGTAGCTCCTTCTCGGCCTCCTTTCCTTTCCCACCTACCTTACCCTATCCCCACATTTGAGAGGAGTTTTTGAGCCACTTCCGTTTCTATTCACATGCACATCCCTTAAAATCAATGTAGCCAACACTCGAAATTCACATAGTATTTTCTTTTTTAAAATAATATTTTGGAGAATTCCATACATAAATACTATACTTTACAGCATTTCCATCCATCTCCCCCAACAACTCCTCCCAAGGGCTCTAGTCCCATTCAAATTCAGGTTGTCTTCTCCTATAATTATCATTATATACATAGACACACACACACAAAAAAAAACCCTGTTGAGTCTATTTATTGTTGCTTTCCTGTATATTTCTTTAAAGCTGGCCACCTGGATGTGGAAAACTTATTGGGAAGCTTGTCTTTGGAGAAGAGGAATTCCTCCTCTTCCAACAGCCATTAATTGTAACTCTTCGTCTGCAGAGGAAGCTTTGTCAGTTTTTCCCTTCTACAATGGTGCACCATCTGATACTGTCATTGTTCACATCCGCCCTTTTAAGTGTTTCATGTGTTTTAGTTAACTGTATGTATGTATGTGTCTGGTAGAGTCTGTAGTTGTGAATATAGATATTTCCAAAAGAGAGAGAAAGTTGCAGCTCCCTTGGAGTTGGAATTATAGGCCGCTTTGTACAGAGCCGTGCAGGTGATAGGACTCCAAACTAGGTTCACTGTGTGAGCAGTATGTGCACTTAACTACCCACAGCCCATAGAATTTTATTCATTCCCATGTCTCCTGATGTCTTCTTCCTTCTAGTGACTCCCACACTCAGGTCTCTGGTGCATACCCAGCCTTGAGCAAAACCAAAACAGAATCTTAGCCTGCTCAACCTTCACTAAGTGAGCTCCATAGAGCTCCACCCTGAATCTTAAAAGAGCTGTCTCATAGGAGAGCTCTAGGCCCTCACAATGGCTAAGTTTTCTTTTCTTCTGTTTCAGTGAGAGGTAGCCTTCTGTTTGCCTGCAGTTGCCATCTCCAGGTTCCCTGCTCATCACCCGATCTTTCTTAGAGACTTTCTTCCCATGAAAACCTAAGGGACTCCTTCCCATTCTCATGACTTTTCTTTTTCTTTTTTTTTTATTTTATTCATTTTTTATTTTTTATTGAAAAAAAATTTCCGCCTCCTCCCAGCCTCCAATTTCCTTCCCCCTTCTCCCATTCCTCTCCCCCTTCCTCTCCAGTCTGAAGAGCAGTCAGGGTTCCCTGCCCTGTGGAAAGTCCAAGATCCTCCCCCCTCCATCCAGGTCTCATGCCTTTTCTTATGTGTCCTCTTGCCACTGAGGTTGTTCTAGCCAGTCTGCCTAGTATATGATATGCTGCCTAGTATTATATATATGTGTGTGTGTATGTATATATATATGTATATATGTGTGTATGTATAAACATATTTATTTTATATACTGATTTATGTAATTATATATTTAATTATGTATATACTCAAATATACTGCCAAGTATAATATATATATTTCCTCTTACTACCCCCTACCTCCTTTCTTCTTCCTTTAACCTTAGCACATCATACATTTGCTATGTATTAATCTTGTTTAATCTCGGCTCCTTCTGTTCCATAAGTTTCGGTACATAGAGATGTCTGTGGATTCAGCACTGTCAGGTCTAGGGCAGTGTATTCCAGGTAAAAGGAGCTTAATAAATTTTAAGTGACTGAATAGGTAAAGAGAGGTTCGATTAGCTATGGGCAGTGAGACATCACAGAAAACACTGAAGACGGGTAAGTTGTACATCTGAGGTGTGCCAGCTCACAAATATTGACACAGAGGTTCATTATTAATAATGATAGATCAAGACCTCTCACCCAGTGTGTACACGAAAACATTGGGGTGCAAAGATGGAACAGAAGGAGCCGAGATTAAACAAGATTCATACATAGGAAATGTATGATGTGCTAAGGTTAAAGGAAGAAGAAAGGAGGTAGGGGATAGTAAGAGGTAGTAAGAGTACCTTACAGGGACAATCTCTGAAAATCAAAATGTCAGAGAAATTCTCACGGCCACAATAATTCCATCTCTGTTTACCCTGACATAAGCTCATCAGATCAGCTTGGTGGTGTGGACAAAGCAAAGATGCTAGGTTGAAACACACCCCAGTTCAGAGTCTGGTTCTGATAGTTTCACGTTTAAAATGGAGGTATGTTTATGGATTATACAGACTAGTAATAATTATCAATTATATATAAAGGACACAGTAGAAAACAGGTGCTTATAAATGCTTAATCCTTTTGTTTCAATAATTAATTGAAAAGCAGAGCACAGCCAGTCTCCTAAACCAATCTGCCTATATTAACATAATTTATCCACCCATACCCTTGCTAATGCTGTAAGTTAAAACTACTAACAAACACTGGAACATACTCAGGAGTAAAATGTGCCAACTGCATAGTTCATTTGCTACGGGTCATTTATTTTCCTACGATCCAGGCTTGCAAATTCTGCCTTTAGTTTTGGATTACTCAGTCAGCCTCCAGTTTGCTTCAGCTATCCTACCACTAACAAAAATTTTTTTAACTGAATTAAAAATTTATTCACTTCCCATTCTTGAATTCTGTACTGCTTCATTAAAAAAAAATGCATCTAGTTCCATCAGTTAGGATGAAGGCTCTATGATGATGATAGTTGGGGTATTCACCAAGCTGATTACAGGGGAAGGCCAGTTCAGGCATCCTCTCCACTATTGCTAGGAGTCTTAGCTTAGGTCATCCTTGGGGATTCTTGGGAATTTCTCTAGCACCAGGTTTCTCTCGAATCCCATAGTGTCTCTCTCTCTCTCTCTCTCTCTCTCTCTCTCTCTCTCTCTCTCTCTCTCTCAAGATTTCTCTTTTATTGCTCCTCCACTCCATCCCTCTCCTCCCTCCTGATGGAACCAGATGCAGAGATCCACAACGAAGCACCAGGCCGAGTTCCGGGAATCCAATGGAAGAGAGGAAGGAAGGAATATTTGAGCAAGGGAGATCAAAATAATGATGGAGAATTCTATAGAGACAACTGAACCAAATTTGTGGAAACTCATGAATTCCATACTGACAGCTGTGGAGCCTCCACGGAACTGAACTAGGCCCTCCATTTGTGGGAGATGGTGGTGAATCTTGGACTATCTGAAGGACCCCTGGCAACAGGACCAGGATCTATCCCTGGTGCATGAGCTAGCTTGTCGGAGCCCATTTCCTACGGTGGGATGCCCTGTGCAGCCTTAATTCAGGGGGCAGTGGGAGGGGGGCTTGATCCCACCCCAACGTAATGTGCCAGACTTTGTGAGTCCCTATGGGAGCCTTTACCTGTTGAGAGTAACGAGGGTGGCTTAGAGGGGAGTAGAGGGGTGCACGTAGAAGAATGGGAGGGAGAATTGTGGTTGGAATGTAAAACAAAGAAAAAATAAAATATAAAATAATTATTTATGAGAGAAAATAAAAAGAAGGAAACTAAAATATACTTTGAAATTAATTTTGAAACCAAAGACATTGAGATATATCACGTCCAATAACCCATAGTATTTTTTATTTTATTTTTATTGTTTTAAAAAGAACAAACTATCTTTTTTCACTATACATACCAACCCAAGTTCCCACTCTCCCCACTCCTTCCATTTCCTCTACATAACACCCATCCCTAGCCACTCCTCAGAGAGGGTAAGGCACGTTGCTTTGGGGAAGGTCCAAGGCCCTTCCTACTCTTTGTAGGCAGAGCAAGGTATCCATCCAAAGAGAATAGATTCCCAACAGGTCCG